CCTGGTACCCGACTATCGACAATATCGAATATACGACCTCGAACCCGCGATATTTGTCCGACGACGTTCGATTGATCGAAACGCACTATCGCGTACAACACCGGGCGGCCGTCGTTATTACTGACTCCTCGGTCCGTGTAAAAAATTAAAAAAAAAAAAACACAAAACAAAATAAACCCAATCGTTTTGCGACGATTGTTTACTACAGGAATTGTCGCGCAGTTTTTTTTCGCCACCGTCTCGGATAGCGAAATCGAATATTGTTGTCGATTTATTGCGCTGCGACTGGCGGCCGTACGTTAAAAAAAAAAAAATAAAATAAAAATCGCCGTTCATATTCCGCGGACGGCAGATTAACGCGCGTTTTTTGCATCCGTTATCCGCGCACGCTCACGAGACGCTAATAACGGAGAGACGCCAATCCGTTCTCGAAAAAAAAAAAAAGGCCGTGCCATTGTGGGACGTTTGAATGTCCAAGAGCGCACAAAGTTATTTAATTTATATCCGTGAGCAACGATAAGCAGTTTGCTAACGAAATACGACTCTGAGCGTAGTTCAGCTACACGCGTTTTGAAATGACGTAATTACATTTTCGTCAAAATTTGATATTAAAATTCGTGTAAATAAAAAAAAAAAAATACTACATTACACTTTATTCATTTTTTTGTTGTTACTACTAAGTACAACCCATAACGAACCTATTGTTAAATTTACAAGAATTTCCGTTGATGATCAAACAATTTTATCCACAGAGTAACTATCGAATAAAAAATGCTTAAAAAACTCGCAAAATTAAAATGTCTATAAATACCTCAAAAATAGCTCAAATGTTTTAAAAATTTGATTACGTATAGAAAAGGTGAATACAAGTTTTGAGCAGCTAAATGTCAAGTCTCACGAATATTATTAACTGAAGTACAACAAAAAAAACTAAATTTAAAATAAAAAAAGCATTTTATTTTATTAAGCAATTATTTTCATACATTTCCTAGTTTTTTCTCGGTTTTTCCCAATTGTTATGAAAATTGCTTGGAAAATCGAAAAGTTACCTTCTTATCTAGTAAAAACTAGATTTCATTTTCAGAAAAGATGCTATACTTGATACTTTGGAGTAAAATTTCTTATAGAATTTTTTTACACTGTATTTATATGTATAAAAAAAAAATATATATAAATAAACATAATTACTATAAAACTAATACACACCTCGTTCCGCTCAGAATCTGAAATTCAGTAGCAATGCTTTGTGAATCACTATACATATAAAAAGGTAGCATGCAATGAGAATTCCTTCACTACCCCTTTTCATTGTTCATCTGGTATTAACACCATCGTTAAGATTTTTTTTTCTATTGAAACTTTGTTTTTACAAGTAGTCTTGGCAATTATTTGATTAAAAAAAATTAAAATATACATAATTGTAACATTAATTTACATACATTTTTATAAGCAATTCAGAATTAGAAAATAAGGCGGTTGCTTTAATGATAGCAAGGGATGAATGTGATGAAAGTATGCGATGGGGATTGAGAGGAATGTTAAGAGTATGAAGCAGCGAAAAAAGACGTAGGCGATCAGCGCGGGACAGTCAAAATGAATATGGTTAATATCGCTAATGGCTGGAACGTGATCAATTGTAAACATTAAGATTATAATATTAAATTAAATATGTTACACTTGAAAATGAGATAAAATTTCTGGTATAGATATTTCGTACTCAATATAAAAAAAAAAAAAAAAAAAATACATAAATATTATTGTAAAACTAAGAAGAATGTATTAATATTCGCTTAGAATATAAAACAGAACTGAAAATAATGAACCTATTGTATCAGTTAACTTTCTTTATATTTTTTTTTTTAGATTTGTACAATTGTTAAGAAAACCGAAAAACGACATTCTCACTCATCAACTAGACCCAAAATGCTTCATAAAAGGTTTATTGTCATTTTTTGATTGGAGCGAGATTTCTTATCCAAAATTAGTTACTAAAACAAAAGTTGTAAAGTGAAAAAAAAACACTTTAGCACACCTTTTTTATGTGCATTAAGTTCACGGCTTTAAATATAAATAATATTGAAAACACGATAATTACCTATCACCCTTAAAAAAAACCTTCGGTCGACTGTTTGAACAACGCCGACTTTGTTTATTTTAGATATTAGGGTCCGCCGAGACATTATACTCTTGTAAATAATTAATTTATCGTCAATTAATTTATTATTATACCAAATGAACCGGAAATATCTTAAAACAGTTTGTTTTCTATTTTTCTTTAAACCCACTCGATCGGTCAGAAGGGAGATTATTAATCTTGTCGACGTATAGTTCGAATAGGTGGGTAAATATCCATTGGAAACCGGACGTCCTCGGAAATCCACTAATAATTTAGGATTGCGGCGATAAAAAAAAAAAAAAATCGATGAAAGAGTTGAGTAGCTATAACTTTGGCTTAGAACAGTCGACGCGTAATAAAGAAATTAAACAAATATTATTTATTGGTAGTTATTTTTGTACATACAACTGAAGGATGAAAATTGCATCACACTTGCGATCCGTACGACATAATAAATCCACAAGGGCATTTGAAAGTCTTTAAAATTGCAATCATAGGGGCTCCTTATGGAACTTTTAATTTTTTTTTTAATATCGAATGATTTTCGTCTTACAAGTCCCTAAAATCGATATTTATGTGTCGTGCATACTAGGGAACCCTAAATTGATGTGCGTATGACACGCAACGATTGAAATATTAAAATCTAAATGACCCACATTTGAACGTTGCGGTCATTTTTAGATTCGGAGCGTAGCGATGGATTACTATAACGGTGTGTTTTTTTTTTTAACGGTCTGTAAACAGCTATACGAAAAACAAACTTGATCCGATACAGTATAGCATTTTTTCTTAAAGGGAATTATAGCTAGTTGGTTTCATTTGAGATCATTTTTTGATTTTCCAAGTGAATTTTCTAATTGGAAAACACAAAATTGTAGGTGAAACGGCAAGTATTTACGGCGATTATGTTATCGATTATATTGTTATTAATTTATATGTTTATTATAAGAAACATTGCTTTAATCAAAAAATGCCTTGAATTTTTTTTTTTGTTGCATTTTCGATTTAAATGCTCATGAAGTAAGTCGTTTTTGATTTTCCAATTTAATTTTCATAATAATTGGAAAAAACCGGAAGAAGACAAAAATGAAAACAAACTGCAAATGTATGGTGTACGATTTCATTGTTTTAAATTTGTACGCCTAATGTTTTCTGTCAGAAATATTGTTCCAATGGAAAAACAATAAAATACCTTTTTTGTAGAATTTTTAATTTAATGGTGAGTTTGAAAGTCGTTTTTTGATTTTCTTTGTATTTTTTTTAACAATTAAACAAAGCCGGGAAAAAACTTAGAAAGAGCGGAAAAATTTACGAAAATAATGGTATTATTATTTTCAATTTTGTATTTTTTCTGTAATTCAGTTTAAAATATTCACACGGACTTGAAATTTTGACAGCAAACTTATATCTAATTTTTGTAGACATGATCAAATTTTCAAAATACTCTAGTTATTATTAGACTATTTATAGGTATTTTATATGTATTTTTATTTGGTAGTTTTTACAGGTTTACCTGTTATTAAAATTTTGTGACTTAAAAGAAATGTTTGAAAATTTAACACAATGTACTATTTTACTAAGTAGGCTAAAAAACAAATTTGAGCATAATAATGCATTTGTTTTTTTTTTTTTCATAAGCGTTTTAAGATCAAATGTACTCGTATTCTTACCTAGTACCAGTGTACCGGCCACTGATGGTGAGGTAAATTTCAGGCATTTTTTTTTTTGATAATTTGTGTCTTGTGTTATTTACTTTTATATTGTTTTTGGCCGAATTGGCACACATGCAACACACGATCTAACACGCGTGCTATGTTAAAAATTAAAATATCTTAAGTCACAAAACTGTGATGTAGGTATACCTAATTTGTCGTATTTTATTGTGTAGTAATTTAGCCGCTTAGCAAATTCTCGAAATTCAATTCGCTCGTATTGAAAACCGTGCAATATTGACTTTCTTCCGCGATACCGACGATATAGACGCTCGGGTTAGGTTTATGTACAAGGTATTGTGTGTACGAGTAATTTGAATTGTTTTCCACGATAAACATCATTAAAAACTGTTTTGTTGTTTTTGCGAAGCAATTTTTTTGCTTACTGAAAAAAAAAAAAAAAACGAAATTTGATAGACGCCCTTTTAACGAAACGCCGTCGATATTAATATTGTTGTATTCGTTTGAAATGTAATATATGTTTTCCCGGTTGTACGTTTTGTACATAAAGTATACATGCATTGAATGCGGTATACGCCCTTTTTAACGAATCAGTGTTGATTTAATTATATTTATTTAAAAGGGCGCCTGGATGATATCTTTTAGTCGACATTACCATAACATGTATTATTGTCTACATTCAAACACGCCTATTTTTTTTTTTTTACCGGTTCACGCGCTCCTAATTTTTCTGACGTCTCTCGGTACCGAAAACGCAGTTTTCGATTTCTAGCGGTACACACGTTTCCAACAAAACACCATCGATATTATTGATAGGCAGATCGATAGTTAAAACGATTTTACGACGTTGCGCCGCGATCGACGCGTTATTCTGTTGAAACGTTTTGCATTTCCGACGATGGTCTTTCGACATTTGATCTGTTCGGTTCGTCTGGCCGCGGGGTTTGACGGTCGGAACAATCGAATCTGGTTTCCGATAACACACGCTCGACCGATTACGACAACGCACGCTATAAGTACGCGTGTTTTTTTTTTTTTGCCCCCCTTATAATCGACGCGCACGCCCGAACGTGCGTCATTACATAATTGTACAACACAGACGCACAGCATAATACTATTGTCATCTATGACCGAAGAATCACTTACTATATAAGGCGCCTCGCGAATGTAACATTTTCATTTCGTTCGCAGAAGCGACCGCGACCGTTACCGCCCTGCAATACACGCGTCATTTTCGTGAGTCGAATCGTTATTGTATTCGAGTATACAGGTAACGTACGATTGTATATTATTACGTGTATTATTTTTTTTTTTTTTTTTTTTTTTATACACCGATGATTCCGTTCCGATTAGGAAAACAAAAAAGTGTTATCAATGTCGAACACAAACAATTTAAACGTAGTGTATACTGTCATAAACACAAATTTGTTATTTGATTCAATTTATATGGTATCAAAAAAAAAAAAAAAAGTAATTTATATAGACATTTTTCTTTATCAGCGTTAAAAATACAGAAAAAAAAAATTCAAACAATATTTAACAAGTGTTAATGTATACAAATTCAATTATTTAGTGCGATAACTGAATGCAAAATATTATCTTAATTTCGCAATAATGTAAAATTGTTACCGTAGTCGTAAATTCTATACTATATTAATATATAGTGTAGGAAATCCAACATGGGACGGAACTCGTGTAACTAAATAAATAACACCGGACGGAATTGGTATATCCTTAAATTCAAATTTTACTTTTGGGACGGAATTCGGATGCAGCGGGCACGCATCGCGCGCGCACCAGCTCGTTTACCAATGAAAACGACCGTTTGAAAAAGTATCACGGCGTTCCGTACCGCGGTTGTCCGAACCGCGAATTCCCGATGTTTGTAAATGGTGTGGCGGACAGAGCGCGCGCGCAATTTCAATTAACCGGTTAATTAAACAATTAATAAATCGGTCGGCGAACGATGAATTCGGCTGACCGCGAACGTATACGGATATTGCAACGCGGCGGAAACGAGAGGGACGCGCGGACGCGGCGGGATGCCGCGTCCCCTCGCACTATGAAATTACTCAAAACCGGCGGCGGCCGCGGTGACGCGGTCAACCGGCCGACCCGGTTCGAAAAGTGAGGCGCCCGCGGCTGCATCGCCTGGGGTGCGATTGCGGGCCGCAGGAGTTTCTTGCGGTACACTGTGATTACACACTGCAGCGATCGTACAAACGGCGAGAACCGATGGTGTACACGCTCTGCACACGGATCGCACCCCGGAGGAACCGATTCGGTCAGACCTGTCACGGGCCTAAAGTGTCCCTCGGGCCCACCCTCCGGAACGTTGCGGCTATGCGATTTTCTTTTTGTCTACATAGTAACTCGTGTATCCGACGCACTCACAGGAGTGGTCGATCGCGGTCTCGCGACGACCGACGGCGTCTCGTCAGGAACTCCGTCCCGCGACTTGTCCCGAGCGTTGCCGGGTCGCCGCCGTCCCGAAATCGTTCGAGACGCTGGGATCGGACTGTCCCGCGCGAGGGCCCCTGTAGCCCGTTGCGCAGCGTTTGGACCTATAGGACGGTGGCGGGAGAGTTGAGAGAAACCTCGCGCCAATCTACCCAATGGTTCTGGCCGGAAATCGCGCGTCAACCGGCTCGTTGTCGCGTGGCCGCTGTATTTCCGGCGGCCGTAATAGTAAAGTGTGCTTACCAGAGTAATTCAAAATTTATATTACGTCCGTTTATCAGGTAAATATTGAAAACGGAGAAAAATGTACAGTGTGTACGAACCTTTTTTTTCGGTTCGTAAACATCTCGGATGATTTGTACATATTTTTTTATTTTATTTTTTTTTTTTTACCGTACTCTCCCCCTTATTGAACTAGAAAGTGGAATAACTCGTCAACGTGTGTTGACGGCAATCAAAAATTTGAACAACGAAAATTCGATTTAATCTATAACACTACGTCATTTGAATTTCAAAAGTTGAAACCGGCCAAAACCCTTGAACAAAGGCAGTAAAAAAAAAAAAAAAAACATGACAAAAATGTACAAATTGTTTTTGATGTTTGTAAATAGAAAAACTTTTATATCATTGTGTATTTTTCTCGGTTTCGAATAATCACGTGATATAATTGGCGCAACATGAATGTTGAATCAACCCGTGTACAAATAGCGATTATTGTTGCTGAAATTTTACTACGCGCCAATGCTCAACGGTCATTTTCCCTAAAGCTTTTGTTTCTTATGCGGAGATTGTGCACTGAGAGATTCGAACGCGCGTCTCTGCGCGTTTCAAGGGTCGCGATTTTAAAACGTGCATTTTTATCGTGCATCGTACGATGGCCACGCGTGCGTTGTGTCCGCGCTGACGCGCGAGGGACGTGGCACGAAGCAAAAGAGTAAAATGGCGACGTTGGATCCGTCCGCTTAAAAAAAAGACCAGAAAAATCATTCCTCGTTCGGCCCCACGAGAAAAAACGCTCGTCCAGTGTCGAACATCTTTATCAATATAAACGGATACATGGACGGCACACGGGGATGGTTACACAAATTATGCAACGGACGGAAATAAAACGCGCGTTTACGCGTTCACGCGCGCGTATAAACGCCGCGCGAGAGTGCGCACGTTTGATTTTGAACGACCAATCGCAACGTTTGAAACGAGCAGAGACGAGCGTTAGGATCGCCTGTAGTGCGCAATCCACGTTGACAATAAGAGCCGACCAGTAGTTGTGGGGCGCCTTTGTGACACCGTTATGGCGCGATGCAGTTAACAGCGGCATTTTACTCGACATTTTATCGTATTGTTTTGATAACTAACACGTTTTCGGTGTTATGCTATAACCGAACTTCGAAACGTCGCTGTACGACAAAACACCGGGACGGTTCGGTTCGATGTACCACTCTTAATAATTTCCGCCGGATTCGGCGATTCAAATGTCAAGTCACTAATTCAGCCGAACCGCAGGCTGTATGGTCCGCGGCCCGTTTGTTTGCTTTTAGAAACCAATGATCGCGATGCCCGTCCGACTTGCAGAATATTAACCGGACAGAGTATGTAAACCTTTACGCGTCTTCAGTCGCGTCGCAAAAACGCGCGAAAAAATCAAGTTGAAAATCGCTCATTGTAACCGCAATATCATGAACGGCCAGCCCTGACGATTGTTATTATAATAAAATCGGCCGAGAACTTCGTGCCCGTAAATAATAACCGTGCGGTTTCGCGGACGGTCTTTTGACTTCCGGTTCGGGTTGAACCGCCGTAGGTGCTCGATAAACTATGAACTATCGAACTAAACTATGAACCATTCAGCTCGATAAACTATGAACCTGCCGCGGTCCTTAGGAACATTATAGTTCATAAAATAATATCTCCCGCACCGTTTACTGGGGGGGGGGGGGTCGTTTGTTTGTTCGACCCCGAATTCGATTGTGCACGCAATTAATGATTAGATTGATTAACGATTAATCTAAATGTACGCGCCGTATGCGTTTAGCCTTTTATCTCGGTACAATATTGTATAACATGGTACCCGGCTATATTGCACGGGTTCCGATTATTTCCGGTGTTTCTTTATTCTCACTCATTAGCTACCTGTATTATAATTTATCTATCGTATTATTAATTCCTTTAAATTATTTGCTTTCAATGCGGTTTTTATTTCTTCGGCCTTGTAATTTCTCTCCGATCTATCTGTCTATCTCTTATCTACCGTCGGACTAGATTGCGCGGCGGTTTTTAATACCAATTGAATTTCACTCCATGTGTATAAATAATCACGTCGTTAGAAAAAAAACCTTTAACCTGGATTATCACTTTTAGGTACTCGAAAGTCACCTCTAAAACGACCTGTATGAAATTCCTGTATCAACTGTATTCCACTCAAACGCCAGTGATATCTCCGTTACGATACTATACTGCTATAGGCAATTTCGGATTTATGCCTCTTAAATGCGCCCTGCCGTCGAAATCAACTAACGTTTTCCCCTTTGGACAATCGATCTTTACTCGGTATATTTACCACACAGCCAGTACCATCCGTCAGTAGGCGGTCCAAATTATCTGTTATACTATTAGCAGTATTAGCATTCGATGTAACGTGATTATGTTCTGAATGTTCGATTCCTGGACGTGACTGGTCGGACCCCGTGTATCGTGGTTCACGTGACGTACGATTGAGATTTAACGCGTTTACCCGATAAATTGGAATTTCTTTTCCCGCTATTATGGCCTGATTGGCCCGTTCCAATTTGTAAATTATTTAGGTTATATAATAGATTTTCAATTTTAATTTCAAATTTCACCTGACTCTAACCCGTTATGGTGTCACTAATTTGAGCCTGCTGCTTAGCGCAGCTATACGTATTATGTGAACGTCAATTCCTTATTGAGCGGTTGCCCTTCATCAATCGGACGAATATAATACACCCTCCCGTTGTTGTTATATACCCTATTGTTGTACATACCATCCCGTTTTTTTTTTTCATTCTGATTAAATTTAGCTCCATCCGTAACGTGGTCATATGGTATTTCGAATGCATCTATTAATATTTGTTTAATCGCCTCCTAGTTCGCGTTTTCCTTACCTAACCTCATCGTTGGACTTTTGTGCGGTAATCGTTGAGACTAATCTGGACACAAGGTCCTTAGGTATCAATTAAAGACATTACATTTACACACGTATTTTTGAATGGAAATATATCTGTGGCTCCCGGGCACTAGCTTAATCGACTCAATCAGGGTCATTATAGATTTTTAAAATTATTCTCCCATTTTCTTGGTTCGCATAACTGTTTGTGATTCACTAGCTATGTACCAGTTTTAGTTGACTACACGTATCTGTACGGGTGATTTCAATGGGAGCTTCCAGATTAATTGAGCTAAATGTTTTGTTTAATGTTGTCTTTATCGCATTTATTTTTCCCTGCTACCTTCTATCCTGTGTCCACGGTTTCTTCCCTAAGTTAAAGCTTAAGGAGGGATATTTCCATGTTCAACTGTTCCTTTAATGATTAATTGTTTAAATTATATTTATGTATAATATAACACATAATACACGTATCTCTTATGATCAATAATATTTAGTTATTTTGAAAGTGTTTAATAATTTCCCTAAACAATATACGTACCTAATATTGTTATTTAATAAAATGATAAAATATTCTCTCGTAATTCCTTGTAATATTATTTGTGTAACCCGTGACATAATATTTTAAATAATAATTCATAAATGGAACCAATTATTATTGTCGTACAGTAATAGTTGTCAATTGAAAATTTCAAATAGTTCCCAAATAAATCTCAATCAAATAACTCATATATTTTTCCATATAAGTTCCAATAAATTCAAAATATAATTCTTTAACAGTAAAAATCTCAATAATAATCCTTCAAGTAATAAAAACCAATGGTTATTAATTGACTGCAAATGCCTGCGTAGGTATTAGCTTGAAATTTTAAACCATGTTATTTTAAAATAATAACTAAAACAACATATCAAATTAACGCCTCTCTAGGAATGCTAATAACATTCCAAAAATACATTAAATTATTAAAGTTACGTCATTTGACGTTTAGTTTAATGTTTTAATATTAATTTTATTAAAATTATTGAAATAAATAAAAAAAAATCCTTTGTCGGAAAATCTCGCAGGGAAGGCAGTTCTCTGTATTACTTATTGTTTCGCTTCTTTTTTACAGATACTTTCGTAATTTTCGTAATGATAGAAGAACACATTATACAATTTTTGTAGGTATTTAAATACACCCATATTATAGGTATAACGTCGAGTAAAATAATTTTCGATGAAATAATCGAATCTGTTAGACCGTCATAAAAATACACTAATCTATGTTACCATATGTTAAACGAAAATCAGGTCGGTATTAGGTATTAAGTTCTAGGTACCTATGCCGCTGGAGAGAAGTTGTAATGAAAAAAGAGGCTTCATTAAAACAGCTTTCCGAATCGCGATAGTCATTTTTTTTTGGTCTACCGGATCGAGAGCAAAGCTGATAGCAGTAGAGATGGAAAAAACAATGTCATCGGTTTTGTAAATCGGAGGGTTATGTACAAACTCCATAGTCCACATTTCAGGTGTGTTTATTATGTTTTTTTTTATTTAAATCACGACGTATCATTAAAGCGTCGGCTTTATAACTAATTACTGTTATCGTTTTATCAAATTATTTTCAGAAATGTCGTTGACCATCTTTTACCTGCAATTACTTCAAAAACCCGCGAACAGCAAAAATGCATGTCAAGGATTCACAAAGGGGTTATACACAAGACTTATGTAAATATAAAGAAGCACTTTTTACATATTCAGAATAATTATTCACATTTAAAGTTGTACTTAGGTTATTTATATAATTTCTATTACAATGGACTAAAATAAAAAAAGAAAAAGAAATTGTAACAAAGAATACCCAATAACAAAGAAAAAAAGTCATGTGATGGTTATAATTGTTTAGTAATTATCATAAAGGTTTAATACAAACCGAAAATTAAATTACCGAGTATATAATATTGTTATTATAATGTATATTTTAATGTATGAAACATAATCTAACGACAAAGAATTGACTATTTTTGTACAATGTGGCGAAAAACCCGGCACTTGTGTATTTTTCAAAAGGATTCATTTTTAATGAATGAAACCGTTTCGTTTATTAACCGATAGTATGCGTTTATTAAAAGGGCTATCGATAAGAAGTCTCATTTGTAAAAATATTATTTTACGACAAAAAACAGTTCCGTGTTAAAATAACATTTTGTTTGGTTATTTTTGTACGTGGTTATAAAATTATTTAAATATATATATTTATTCTGTTTTACAAAAACAAAAAAATAATTAACTAATAACGGACATCGGAATTCTCTTTTAACAAGGGCTTTTCGAACGTACTTTTTTAATATTTACGACTTCGTATGTGGTTTCGTTTACAAAAATTTACTCAATTATTATTCCATTAAAAATAAAACATAAATAATAGTTTATTTAGATCTGAAGCGTTCGTGAATTTCAATAATCTGTGACATTGTGATAACTGATAAGACACGCTCAGGATGTCGATCGTGTATGTCGTGTGTGTTGTATCGTATTCAAAATTAATACATTATGATATGTTATATCACCGCGTTAACTCTATGAAATAATAATATTATACAGAAAATAAAATATGAATCAAATCATTTATTTATTAATAAGCTAAATTAAACAAACAAACACCGTTAACGTTAACGGACACGTCACGTTAGTAAGTAGCTGGTACTTACACTGTACAAAAATAATTAGTTAGTATTCTAGTTTTTAGGTCTGTGTGAATAGTGTGATAGTATTACTGGTTAATGGAATCACGGTGGCCAGTATACTGGTTTTGACAGTAGAACATGTCCTAATTTTCACACTAGTTACCAGCATATAAACATTCGGAACCAATCAAAATACAGACATTTTATCAATGATTATTACAATGTTATCGCGACTGTAAACAGTATTATAATAAACAATAATCAAAATCGTGGTTGTATAGAATATAGGTGTTTTCTTATCATCCTTCTTGTATTTCCTGCTAGTTTCTATAAAAAAAAAATAGTACCCTATATAGTGTATCATACATTACGGCGTGAATAGAATATAGTACGGGTTCTAGTACACTAGATTGCACGCAATATTTAAAACTACGTAGCATGAGCTAGAGATAACACAATAATCGTGTAGTATTGTGTGTACAGAGCTTCAGCATTTTATTATTTTAAGTAGATCAATAACAATGTTACGGATAATTATTTATATTTAATATCCTTATCAAATATTTAACAACTTTGACAATATACTTACTGGTAACTGTACGGACTGGCAGAAGGACACACCGGGGATATAATGCGTTTTAAACTTAAGTCTAGAATCCAAACAGGTACGAAAATATTACTACTTTAAGAATTTCAAAAAATTTTATGTTCACTATTTATAAATAAAAGTAACTTAGATTTCTACACTCAAGCGTAATATTCTATTTATTTGGTTATAAACGAATCAACTATTATTTCAAAGTTAAAAATATGTATAGGTTTAGAAACTGGGAATTTTGCTCGTTCGCAGAGTACGCTTTCAAAACATTTTTTTTTTTTTAATACTTAATTACTATATAGCGGGGGTGGCGAACCTTTTTCGAGCTAAAAAAAAAAAGTATTTTTACTAAAAATAAAACAAATGAGCAATAATTATACACATTTTAATTGTTAACTTTTATTTTATAGAATTAATTCTTAAATTACCATTAGGAATGAAATATTATTTATCTATTAGTTATTAGTTATAAATTATAATTCTATATTATTTTAAATGTGATTTCTGTTGTTATTTTTTTGAAGATAAATTTTTGATATCTGGATTAAAGTTTGTAATTTTCAGTGAAAGTCAAGCTGCCCACGGTTTTATCGATCAAATTTCATTGCTTTGTTTTTATAAAATTCATTGTAAAAAATAAACTTTAATAAGGGTAAGTAGAAGAAAAAATTGAAAGTATGAAATGAGTCATTTTTTTTTTTTAAATTTAGTTATTAAATGTATGTATTTGGAAATGAATTTCAGAATTTCAGAATTTCATTATCTACATTTTTCACAATGTTTTTTTAAAGACAGTTGGTTTATATTTCTTCGATTAGTTTTAAATCAATACACTTTAATTCTACGTGTTACACGATTGAAGATCAACTGACTCAAATTCAGATGAATCTATATTAATCCATTCAAAAAATTTAAATTTGATTCATTAAGATTGCAAGCATCGGGTTATTTGTGAAACATAATATTATATTCAAACTTTTTAAAATCTATAAATCTGTTTTTGAATTGTAGAATTGTTTTCTTTATAATTATTAAAAAGTGCACCCCATTAGTAGTTATAAATACAATTTTAGATAAATTTAATCCAATATCTTCAATGACATTTACAACTACTTTACTTATATTTCCATCCATAGTTTTAGGTACTATGGTTGATAATCTGATAAATTATTCATGAAATTCTTCATTAATACAGAATTTAGAAATTATTGAAAAACGTGCAAACGATGTTACATCTGTACTTTCATGAAACATGATTAATTTTTTTTACGATAAATATTTGTATGGCGTGCCATTGAAATTCGGCCAACGTGCCACTTTTGGCACGCGTACCATGGGTTTGCCACCCCTGCTAAATAGATACTTGCGCAATCTATGATTCTTGTATTGTTTTTTAAAATTAAAACTAAACATTTGTTCACGTAATACGAGATGATTATTTTATAAATTTATTTCGAAACAAAATGTTCGTGTTACAAAATGTTTTATTATAATAATGAGTCGTTATAATTTACTACAGCCGTTTGAAGTTTATACGATAGTTTAAATATTTTTTTGTTTCCACTATACTAAATAATATCAATTGATTAGTCAATATTATTCCACGAAAAAGTAAGTGTGGGCAATTGTACGGTGATACGGTAATATTTGTTATTGCAGTGTACGTACACGTTTATTATTTGTCATACTTTTTCAATTATGTATTAGCAGTGGAGACCGAAAACAAATTATAATGGCTGGTACGACGGTCGATCAGACGTAAAACGTTTTTACGGGGGGTGTGCCGTTCGGTTCAAATGGAAAAAAAAAAATGAATATAAATATCCTGCAGCTGTGTTATAAAAAAAATAATAATAACAATAATAATAATAATAATTACTAGCGTTTTCTTATTTTAAATACAAACAGTCGAATATAAAAAAAAAATAAATAAAATACTTTAAACAATCACAGTCGACGAGCGTCGAAATTTTTAATTCCGTCGAGCTTTCGCCGCACTGCGCGGGGGAATCGTTTTCCGTACGCGATAACGATCGCATTTCACGGCTTATTGTGCCCGTTTGATAAAATACGATTGCGGGCACGATCCAATTATCGGCGGCGATAGTTTATTATCCTCTAACAATAATAATATACGAATTAAACGTACGCGAAGTCGACACCCCTTATTATAGTCGGCGCAGGCGATTCAGGTGAGACGGAGGCCATTTTTCAGATTTATTTTCTCCTGCACCGTAACGAGGTGAAAATGAGTAACATTTTTTTTTTTTTTTTTTTTTGAATAATTTAGAAATAATAAGATCATTAAACGGTATTCCATAAGAACAAGACGAAAAAAACCAAAATCAATTTTACGCTCAAAATGTTCGCGGACAATCGCTGAATTATGATTTTAAAAAGACGTTCTAGGACGATGGGAACGGGTGCAGCCACTGTCACAAATAATTTAATGTACACCTGTAAGCAACGATAAATCATTGCTTAAGAAAAAAAAACAACGATTCTGAGCGGAGTTCAGTTGATACTGATGCTTTATCAACAATTTATATGTAATTTTATTGTCAAATAATTAAATAGGCTTCATATATTTTCTTTAATCATAGTTGTATAATGTTGTACCGATTTTTCCAGTTTTCCAACGTTCAACGTTTTTCCTTGTTTTCCTATGTTTTATCCCGGTTTTTCACATTTGCTGGGAAAACTCTTGGGAAAATCGAAAAATAACCTTCTAAAGTACTTCTCTAATGAAATTTTCCTTTAAGAACATTACTGTTATTAAAAGTTTGAGCAAAATTACTCGTAGAAAAGTTGTCCACAGAGAAAAAATCGTAATTTATGTGTATTATATTTAGTAAATTTTCCAGTTTTTTTCTCAGTTTTTCGCATTTGATGAGAAAATTCAGAAATGACCTCCTTAAAGTACCTCCTCACGCCAATATACTTTCAGAAAAAGCGCTACACGTTTATCAGAGCAAGTTATCTGGTAGAAAAGTTGTAAACAAATAACTAAAGAATAAACACTTTGTAAAACCGTAAGCTTCTTCACTCCCCTCAGAGTCTAAAAAATGCACTCTGTATAACAGGTTCTATATTAATATGTTAAACACATATTTATATATTGTATGGCCGTCTCAGGTTATTGTATGTGTGCACATTTTCTCGCGAAAATATGTAATTTAAAAGTACAAATGGTTAGGGAAGGGGTTAAAAGTGGACAACTTCAAAAGGCACATCCTTAATACTTACGTAATGCGCATAAAAAGTTCCTAATTCCGCATTAACACGGTAATATTCATATCGAAATTCGACCACAATAGTATCATTTAAATTTGCCTGTAAAAAAATGAATAAAATTCCCGATTTTGAACTCATTATTTGGTCCATAAGAAGCCGTTAGAAGTATAGTCTCTGTTCTTTGTCTTATTCGAAAATGAATGATTTTCAATATTTTTTTTATTTAACTATTATTATACTTTATGTCGAACACTAAACTCGTAACATGAACAAACGTTAACGATATTGAAGAAATTACTCAGTTATTTTATGCTCTCCGTACGTTTATTTATCTATTCAAATATGTTTGATAAA